TATTTTTTTTCTTTTTTTTTAGATTAATTATTAATTCACATCCTCTAGACGTTATTTACAATCCAACAATATTCCATTCAATAATGGATTTTTTTTCATTTCACAATAAAATGGAATATCTGAGAGATGATTTTTCTTCAGAATATTATTTTGGTTCAGCAGGAAGTACAAGATATGAAACTCTTAAACTTCAAACCAAAGCAGAGATTAAACAGAGATTAGATCAAATATTAGAGGGGGAACAACAAATGGTAATTATAAAAGATTGTTTCATAACTAATAAGATAACGTAATGAAGCATTGGGTAATTTGGATATGATTAGGAATTTTAGAATGTTTTAAAATATCAACAACATTTTAGAATATTTATGATATACAGCACATTGTAAGATACTTTCATTTAGTATTTTTTCATATTTCATTTACAATCTTATAATTATTAATTTTATAATTTAAACATTTTCTGAAAGCATTTTTTATTGCTTAAGAGGTGCAGATTTAGCCTATGATTGAGTAAAGAAAATAAATGAATATATTGGCTATAATGATATAACTTTTAAATTTGCTTAATCAAATTGCCCTTTTTCTCCTCATGACTAGGAAGTGTTTTCATCATCTATTTAATGCAAAATTTTTCATCAAAAAACAATTTATAATTAATTTATATAAACAAAAACATGATGCTTCATCCATATTTATATATCATGCAGACACAAAGTTTTCCTTACAGGCTAATAAGCATTTGTATTTTGTCTTTATAATTGTCATTTGCTTGTGTCAATAATAATAGCATACTATATTTTGAAATAAAAATAAAAAATATTTGCTTTCATTAAAAGCTAGGTGTCTTTATTATCCATATAAGAATATTTCACAGGAATGAGAATAAATAAATTTTTAATTTACTTTGTCTAAACAGTTTTGAAAGTACAGTAGAACCCCCCCCTATAACACTGTTGATAATTCGGTATTATATGAATTCCATGTTGTATGAGTCACTTAGATTTTACAAATACATGTGCCAGACTGTGAATGGCTCACGTATTTGTAAAATATAAGTGACTTGTACAACATGAAATTCATATAATATGGAATTATCAACAGTGTTATAGGGGGTCTACTGTATTGATCAACAGCTATTTACTCCAGTGGAGATTATTATTAAGATTCATCATTTTTTTGTCAGAAGTTGTTAAAAATACAGCTTTTTGAAATTAGTCTTACATTTATTTTGTTTAGCTTTCATTTTCATGGTTTGTTATTGTTTTATTCATATTGCACTAATTCAAACAGCTATTTAAATTCTTTAAAATATATTTTTAAGTACATTTTTAGATCTAAGTCCTTTGTGATAGGATAATTTCAATAAATATTAGTATTCTAGAATAAAAATTTCAACAATTTCAATTCCTGCTTTTTGCATGTGTTAGTTATTCATTGTGGATTAACACCTGAAGTGAAAATGTAATTTATTTTTTCACTTTTTAATTATTGCTTTAAATTTTTTTTATTTCAATGTGAATAATGCAGTAAAATGCTGTAAGTACTAAAAAATATGACATATACTGAAATTCAAAATCATATAAATGAAAAACATAACTGAAGTGTTTTACAATGGAGAAATACTATGCAGAAAATATTTAATGTATAATTGTAAAAAATGCATGATTGAGAAATATATAAATGGTGTTAGAATGTATTTTTAAAACATTTTTTTCCTCTTAAGTATATATTATCATCATCAAATGCTTTGTTTTCAAAATCATTCAACAATAAGCAATCCATCTCATTTTCCACACGAGTTTGAGTCATCAGTCAGTAACATCTTCATCAATGGATCAGTTAAATGAAGTAATTCTCTAGTTCCAACAAAAGACTATCAAATAAAGAAATTTGATAATTAAAAATAATAATTAATTACTCTCAGTTCTACTTTCATTTCTTGTATGGTAACTTTAACTGCTAAAAAAATAGTTTGACTTATAAAAAAAGAAAAGATTCACTCCAAAACTTGTCAACAAATAACATTAATCTTTAAGGGAGTCTACCAGGCCCATAATTCTTAATAACATATTGTTCATATATAAAAATCGATTCACAATAAAACTTTGACCAGTAAAATATTTATTTGAAAACCAAACGTTTTCGACCGTATTCTTTAGCCTTCTTCAGGTTAAACGTTTCGAGATTCGAAAAGCCGTTGTGCTTACGGATTTAAAAGTTTTGGAACATATTCAACTCATTATGAGCATGCATATCAAGCATTGCATAAACAAAATATATTTAAACAATCTTATCTAAACAATCTTATTTTACACGCGCATGAAATGTTAGAAACACCTTTGGCCCCCACAACTCTAATTAAGGTGTTTCTAACATTTCATGTGCGTGTAAAATAAGATTGTTTAGATAANTGTTTTTTTCATTATATTATATATTGTACAAAGTGTTCACAAGGAAAAACCTATCAATCAAATAATTTATATACAAATCTAAATATTTTTATTAAATTCAATAGTAAAGATAATGTATAATATACTTAAAAATGTAAATGTATGCTGTGCTGTTAAATTGAATTCATTGCTTATAGCAGCCCATGATTTTTTCTTCATAGAAATGCTGACAACACAATCAGCATTCCATTCGATGATATCTTTGTTTGTGGTCACCATCTCTGTTAAATAATGTTTTTCATTGGCTGTCAAGAATGATTTCTCTGTTTAGATGTCATAATTTACACTTAATACTTCCCATAACTTCATAAAAATAATAAACATGTTTGGGTGCAATATCAAGCAACTGTACTATAATGGTGACTGTGATTATACCACAGTTTAATGACAAAAATATGACATATTCTCTGATATGTACACTTATGTTAGTCACTCATTTCAACTTCATTGTATATGAGGATGAGTGCAGCTGAGTAAGAAATAAGAAAAATGTAAGGTGAGGGTAAATGCTCTTGATTGATATTTCTGACTTCCATCCTCATTGTTATAAGTTAAGGTTCATTCTTAGAAATAAATATGGTGCTTATGATGCAACAAAATATGGTGCTTAGATGTAATTTCACATACAATTATAATAGAAAATTCTTACCAGTTATAAAAATGAAAAGTTGTAAAGAGATTGACTGTAAAATCTACTATATTGTACTAATGTCAAAATTACTGACTTCATCAACAGTAGCATTTCTTTTTATAAAGAGAAACAAAGCTTATTAATAAAAATATAAAAAAAAATAAAATAAAATGTTCAATGTAAATGTATACAATAAAAACTGTTTGAAGAGATCTTATTCAGTTCACTTCACATTTCTCTTGTTGAAAGTTTAAATTTTGATGATCCCTATTGCAATAAAATTTTAAAATTTTTAAATAATTACTTTTATGTTGTATATTTATCACATAAGCCAATGTTTATGAAGATATTTACTATCATTTCATTTAGTTTTCTTCCATTTTTATATTCAATTTTGGCATTTTTAAATATGAAGTTAGTTTTAAAAGTAGTTTTTCCCTTTTGCTTAGAATGTTTATTTTGTATATAAAGAGCTAATTTAGCATAACTCAAAAGCAGGATAATTCTTCTAGAATCAGTTATATTTGTAAATATGCAGATTGTTTATAATTGGATAATTTGGTGTGACTAGAATTTGACTATGAAAAAAACAGTATTTAATATGTTTGTTATATCAAAATTTGAGTTATTTTTGGCATTTCATTTTTATATTTTTTTATAATTATTTTATAAATATTTAAATAATTTATTAAATAAATTTTATTAAATTTTTAATTAGAAAGCACAAGTTGCACAATTTCAATCTCAAGGAATACTCCAACGTTGGTTTCCAGGATGGACTGGATGGTATGCTGCAACAACAGATATAAATGCTGAAAATGGAAATGAAGAAACAAATAAAACAGATAAAATCGAAGAACTTGAAAATTTAACAACTAAACTTGGTAACATTTTATATTTAAAATTGATATCTATACGCAGATTTTTGAAAGCATAACTGTAGTATGTTCTATAGTTGTTTAGCTGTACCTACTATATGGATTAAGGAAGAACTATTTAGAGAACTCCAAAAACATCTGAGGAGGATAGTTTTTAGCACACTCAAATAGTATAGTTTAAAGTTGCTGAAAATGGCCAATGTTGTAACTGAAATTAGAAATAGTACTTATTTTGTTTAATAAATAACCATAATAGAGCTTACAAATGTGAGGTTTGCTGTCCTGTTATAGGATATAAATTATGTTGAGCCTGAGTGATTGGCCTATGCAAATATCAATTTAAGATAAAATGATTTACCTTGTTGAATGGTGAGTGTTGCCTGTGTCCCAATGGAGAATGACAATGCTCATAAACAGATTAAGAATCAGCTGTTTATTTAAACTGATTAAACAGAAATCATTGGCTTCTAGACCTATATACAAGACAGAGCATTACACTTGCGGTTGTGAAGTATGAAGTAATTGGATTGCTGATAACTTCACCATGAACATATTGATTATAGTTCAGAAAGTTCTAGAGATTTGGTTCTTTTTATGGTTTTTCTTCCAGTAACAATGGCTTTGAATCTTAGTTTAGCTGAGGTATTTCAAACTTGATCTAGGTTGATGACTTTTTTTCTTACCAATAACTGTTCAAAATAATGACTTTTTTTTTTTCCCTTCTACTTTCAACTTTGTGATTTCTTTTTGTAGGTCTAACCAATTGAAATCAGTTTTTGGCTAGCTTGCCCTTTTAAACCAATAAGAAAAAGTTTGATGTTTTCTATTTCTGGGTAAAAACTGGCTTTGTCATCCACCTTTCTTTATTTCCTGGGAAAGTCACTATAACTGGCAGAAAGGCTTCCATATATGAAAAGTTAGGTTTAAGTTAATTTGGTTTTTTAAGAAACGTTTAAATTTCCATTAACATAATAAGTTTCACAAATTTGAAATCTCACACAAATACTTTCTTTACAACCATTACTGGCTGTTGCAGATATTTTTATATCACTTATTCTTCTCATATCTGATATCTTTCTAATTTAAACACATACAAGACACCTACACCAGCATAGCTCAAATTACTAATTTTTACTAATGTTTTCATCTGTATATAACAGACATCTTCAGGTATATTTAACACAGAACAAAACTGGTAATATATACCAGTTTTGGAAAGTTATTGATCTCTCTCTAATTTCCTGTTTAAATGAATTTCATCATCTCTCTTAACATGTTTCAAGGACAAATATTAGTTATTGCAACTGGAGTATTCTTGCTTTTCCTGTAGATAATTGTATGTAGGATGTTTAAGAATTGGAAGGAAGAATTGCTCCTATTGGAAAGATACACAACATTGTGCTTGCTGAGGTATTCAATAACAGTGTTAATTATTCCTATGCACATATCTTTTTGAGAATCTTGGATTAAGTATTGCTAAAGAATACAGAACTATTTAGCTACTTTTTAATATATTCTAATTAATTTTAAAATATTTTAAAATTTAAATTTACTTTAGTCCAAGAAAATGGTGGAAATTTGCAATTCAAGCACATTTAGATCCTATTAGCAAGTGCCATCAAAAAAAGACATGGGATTTTGTTTTACATCGTGCTTGCAATAATGTGAAATATTGTCAGATATATTATATATATCTAACAAAGCCAGATGGTTTAACAGTAAATATGAAAGTAAGTTATTTTTAAATAATCTACTTTAACTTCTATTTACTATATTTCTTCAGTTCTATAAATATATCTTCAAAATAGTTCTGTAAATTTGAAAACTTTTAAACATATTCTTACATACTAGAAATTTCCTATCAAGCATGATGGAATACTTTTTATGAGAAAATAGAGATTGAGAAATTGAGAAGTGTAGAGATTTCAAGAAATTCAAGAAGAGTTGCTGATATTTCTACAAATTAAATAGTTTATACTATCTGTTGTATTATAGAGCAACAAAACAAAATTTCACCTGGAATGAACAAAAATAGTAGAAGTTATAGAGAATTCACTTACACACAAACAGATGATTACCTTTATATTAAAAAATATTAAAATCTTTCTTCGTACGATTTCCTAAAAGTCTTACCTTACCAACAAAATAGCAAGTTATTTTAATTCCACATTGATAAAACAAAGATGAATTGTATGTACTGTACGTTAGTTAGATGAGCAATAACACTTTCTAAATAATGAGTCTGTTATGTTTAGGTAGTTACTTCTGATTGAATAATAGAACATCATGTGGTCAATGTGAAAAGATTTTTTTTAAAAATTTGTTATAAAAGTGACACAATATGGCTATCTTTTTTTAAAGTTTGAATTTTAAATTTAATGAAGTAAGTTTAAAATATGCCATTTGCCAAAATATTTAAAAATGCAACTGAAAGGAAATTGAATATTACAAGGTCTTGTAATATTCTTAATATAACCTTGTAATATTCATATATTAACAGCAGTCATAAGAAATTTAATGAAAGGAAATTCCTTTGTCAAGCATGAACTAAATGAGGTCACTGATGTCACTACAATGTAAGTGTGATTACTGATCCAAAATTGATAGTACGTTTATTCTATAGCTAATATTTCCACAAAATAAGTAGCCTATACTTTCTGTCAACATTAAACTAATATAACCAAAATTTCATTGAATTGGACAAAAATTGCATCAGTTATAAGGAATTCACACATGCATAGATGATGGCTTTTATATTAGTAATGTGTATATGTATACAGTTTATTAATATCTGTGAAAATTACTTCATGAGTTCATTTTTATATATACGTGTATATACAGGGTGTTTCAAAACTATATGTCAGAAATGTGAAGGCAGACAGAGGGGATCTAAATAAGCAGATTTCATATAGGAATGTGGGTGCAAAAATGCAGTCAGAGGGCACTGTTGAGTTTGGCGGATGAAAACACTTTGCTGGCTTGAATCGTCATTCCCAGCATGGATTTTGAGCAACATGCATCATTACACCAATGCGGGGCTTGCCAACATGCAATTTGTTTATGGGGCTGGCAAGGAAATAGAGCTGTTGCTCAAAGGATGTACATGGAGCGATTTCCACGCACAACTCGTGATGAAGACATTCAAATGTTCGGCAATTCAGCAGATTCCTACCCAGAAATTGCTCCAAGTACAGTAAATCCTTTGAGCAGCAGCTCCATTTCCTTGCACAGCCTCATACATGAAATGCATGTTGGCAAGCTCTGCATTGGTGTAACAATGCATGTTGCTGAAAATCCTTGTTGGGAATGACAATTCAAGCCAGCAAAGCGCTTTCATCCGTTGAACTCAACAGCGCCCTTTCACTGCATTTCTTCACCCACATTCCTATACGAAATCTGCTTAGTTAGGTCCCCTCTGCTTGCCTTTACATTTCTGACATATATATTGGGTTGTTCGGAAAAGTAATTTTTGTTTTTTTTTTTTAGTCTAGACTAGACAGATTAGTCTTATTTTTCCCACCATTTTCATTCTAAACCTTATTATCATTATATGTTTTGACAGCTAGCATTTTAAGGCTTATTTGTAAAAAATTTTGTTTGATTTTGTACAATTGTTTATTTTTTGTGTCCCATCAAATATGGAAGATCGAAAGCAGCATTTTTGGCATATTTTGCTCTTTTATTACCGAAAATATAAGAATGCTGTTCAAGCGAGAAAAAATTGTGTGACGTGTATGGAGAAGATGTATTGACAGAATGACAGTACCAAAACTGGTTTGCAAAATTTCGTTCTGTCAATTTCAATATTGAAGATGAACCATGTTCTGGATGGCCAGTTGAAGCCAATGAAAACAAAATAAAGGTACTGATTGAAGCAAACTGCCAAATAACAACACC